AGTACTCCGCGCTGCACTCGGCGACCCGATGCGACGGGGGCGTCGCCCACGTGACGGCCGCCATGACGTCGTTGTAGCCGCCGGACTGCGGCACGCCCACCCACCGCAGCACCCCCCGGCTGCGGCTATCGCGGCGGCTCCTCACCGTCATTCCAAGGAGAACGCCCCATCCGTGGCGGCGTCTCAGGCTGAGCTGCGTTACCGCAGAAAGCTTCAGCCCGCACTCGCGCGCGCGGTCCGGGCGCCGCGGTGGCGGCAAATCCTCCACCTGCAGCCGCTCCTTCGCGGCGAGGTGAATGTACTTCCAGATCCATGTGTAATACAGGCGCTGCGGCCACGTGGCTGCGCTCTCCGCCGTGGGGGGGTATGGTTCCTCCGCCCCCCACAGCTCGCGTAGTCGACACCCCGCGCCGCTGTAGCTCCTGTCGTACGCGCGCTTGCGGGCCACCAGTGTGCTGCGACTTATACCCACCTCCGCCTCAGCCTCCGGGGAAGTGGAGGAGGAGGAGGAGGAGGTGGCGGTGGACGACAATTCGTTGCAACCCGTCGCCGCGCCACGGTCCACAACCCTCACATCTTCGCACAACATGTCGCGGGACTCCGCCTCCTGCATCTGCGCGTACACGTCACTCTTCTTTTCCCTGCTCACGGCTACACAAAGAAAAGGAGGCGGAGGGAGGCAACGTCCATGACTCACACGAAGCCCGCAGCAAAAACGAGGGGAGGGAGCCACACACGCACCGCGGAGTGGAAACAAACGTGATGCACAAGTTTCAGCACTAATGACGAGGGGAACTCAGATGGAAACAAAAAAAAAATGCGGTGGATGTTGCACCAGCCCGCCACGTTTCTTTGCCGCTCTCCCTGCTACTTACGCAGCACGCAGCAACGCACCCGGGAAAAAGTAAAAAAAAAAAGGGGAGGAGTGGGGGAGGGGTGGGGCAGCTGCTCACCATGCGTCGGTCACCAACGACGGCAATAAGTGCTGCATGGACGCGTGCATGCACCGCAGCGACAGCGCCCCTGGTCCAGTTCCACGGCGCCCACATCACACAAGCACCTCCACGCACGCACGCATGCATGGGCTGATGTGTGTGGTGCCTGCCCCACGGTTGGCCACGCTAATTTGCCACCTCTACACACGCATCCACCTCGACGGCAGCGCCAAACGGCAGCTGCGCCACCCCCACAGCACAGCGAGCATGCCGGCCAACCTCCTCCCCGAACACACTGATGATAAAGTCCGAGGCACCATTGGCAACACACGACTGGTGCGTGAAGGTTGGCGTGGAGTTCACAAACACGTTGAGCTTCACGACACGTTTCACGCGGTCCAGGTCGCCCAGGGCCGCCTGCAGTTGGCTCACCACCTGAATCGCACACGCTCTGGCCGCCTCTTGCCCTTCCGCCACCGTCAGTGAAACGCCCAATTGACCAGTGATGTATTCCCCCTCGTTGCTCTTCGGCAGCTGGCCGGAGACGTGCAGCTGCGTGCCGCTACAGACGTACGGCACATAGTTCGCTTTTGGCGCCGCAGCGATCGGGATAGTGACTCCCAGCCGCTGGAGCCTCGCAGCAACGCGCCCAGCAGCGACGCCAGACATTTGCACGGCAGCTTGTGTGGATGATGCACGGAACCTAGACAGAGGCGGGGTGAGGGGAGAGACACGCGGAAAGGGGCGGGGCGGGGCGGGGCGGGTGAGGCACAGCGAGCGACCGCAACAAAACAGTAACAATGATAAACACCACGGGCACCACCACAACCGGCCAACAGACAAAGATCACAACGCCCGGACCCACCGGCCGCAGTTTGTCCACTTCGTTTGTTTTGTTTTGGGTTTCCTGCCCGCTCCACGGCACTCCCCCTCCTCAAAGCGGTCACTCCCCCTCCTTCTGGTCGTCGTCGTCGCCGCCGCTCTCTGCCTCGTCGTCGACAAACTGCGACGCCCGCCGCGCCTCCATCTCACTGCGTCGCCTCTTCAGCTCCCGCTCCCGCTCGTACGAGCCGTCGAGCTTCTTCACTATTTTCGTGTAGCGGCGCAGCAGCTGGCCGGCCATCGCCACGGCCGCGTCGTCGTCTGTGGACTCCTGCAGGCAGCGGCGCACTTTGTGGCGGAGTCGCTCACTTGACGCCGTGTCGCCGAGGGAGCGCAGCGTCAGGATCGTCTGAACGATGCGCAGCTCCTGCTCGGGCGTCACACTGCGGCTGGCCATATGGCTTTCTTTTCTCCCCCTCGTTGGGGGGTGCGGAAGAAGGGAGGCGGGAGAGGAGGACGACAGACGTTGCAACCCACACACACACACACAAACGCACGCCCA